ACAAATGAGTGCGGGTAACCATCCAGGCAACCTTCCCCTCCCCCGAGCTGCTAACTCTTCCCAGTGCTTGTCCAGCACAGAGGCCAAACAGAGTGGGAGCTCTGTATTGGTCTTGGGCCCAGGAACCTACATTTTCCCAAGCTGCCAGGCTGGGCAGGTGCACCCCGCTGCATGAGACCCCCCAGCCCCCAGTACCGACATAGAGGAAGTGCTCCTGGGTCTACCAGAGCCCTTGCTTCCTTTGGCCGAGGTCAGGCCCTGAGACCTGAACCCCTTTGGCTAACACTCCTTGTGGCTGGTGGAATGCGGGCAGGTGGCAAGCTAAGTGGACATACCCAGGAGGGCTGGCGCTTCCTGCTGGGCACCCAGACCAGGGAAAGTGGGTGGAAACAGCGACTGAAACCGGAGCCTCTTCCTGCCTGAGCGGGAAGCAAAGGCCACTGCACAGGGCAGGTGGCCTGGTTATAAGCTCTGTGGCTTAGCAGCCTGGCCCAACAGCTGCCACCTGTCACCTGCCACCTGCTGTGCCTCTCAGCAGGGCATCTGGGTTGCAGCCCTTGTTTGCAGCTCAGAGCTGGAGTGAGCAATGTGTCTGGAGTGAGTACTGAGGTGAAAGGGCTGGATGGGCTGGGCTGGGGGCTTCAGCCTTCAAAAGCCCCTGGACTAGAATGCCATCCTGTCCACAGCTGCTCTGGAGCTCTGCTCTCAGAATCGTTCACCAGAGCCCTCGGAGGGGAAGCCCTTCCTAGCAACTCTTTTCCACCCTGATCCAGAAAATGACAACTCTCTGCCTGAGGGGCGATCCCTGGCTTTCCCTTTTGTGCCCTCCGCTGGCTGTGGCCCGAACCTAGCCCTGTGCTGCCCATTGGCGAGTTATAGAACTTTCTTCAGCCTCACCAGGAAATGAGGTTCCTGCCATCAAGGCAAGTTTGGACACTGCCCAAGAGGCTGCCCTGGCCAGGCTAAGGTTGGATTCCCACTGCTGAGTTTGCTCAGAAGTCAGTAGCTGGCTGGCTGCCCTTCCCCTGCCTTAGGCCAGCAGGAAAGACGCATGCCCTTGCGGATGGCCCTCTGGTCGTCCAGAATTCTCTCATGGGCTAGCAGACCATCAGCACGACCTCGCAAAGAGCTAAAGACAGCTAAAGAACCCTGAGGGTCCAAGAGGTTATTGGCCAGTAACCAGCCAACATCCTGACCACATTCAGATTTAGCTTTCCTACTTCTGGGTTTCTGCTTTCACATCGCAAAAGCCATCAGTTGGTTTTGTAGGTGCAGATTCGTGAATGCCACAGGCTGATGTGGGTTTCCTCAAAGCGCCCTGCGAGGTGCTTTGTGTTTGTGAATAAGAGATTTCATGGTCACTTGTGGTTGGGAAACAATGCATATTCTAGACAGTGGGCCCTGTGTGTGCATCTTGGCTCTGCACGTTTGTATTCAACTAATGGCAAGTTGAAAAAAAATGCATATAATTGCATCTCTGAGGTTCATGTATAGACTTTTTTTCTTGTCACCAGTCCCTAAGCAACACAGAATAATAACCATTCATGTAACATTTATATTAAGAATGATAAGTAATTTAGATCTGATTTAAAGTATACAGCAGGATGTACATAGCTTTTGCTTTGGGGAGGGGGTTGGAGGGTGCCTGCCCCTTAGCTTTTTTGCTCCAGGCTGATACTCCGTCATTTGAACCTTACCTCCACTTCTGAATTTTTTGGTGGGCAGTTAGAGATAAGTTTCACAGGCTTATCAGTCTGGAATAGCTTTGAACTTTGATCCTTAGATCTCAGCCGCTTGAATGGCCAGGATTTTGGGCGTGAGCCACTGGCATGTAGCTGTGTAAAGCTTCCATGCAAAGATGACCTCCCTTTACATAAGGTTGGGTTTTGGTATCCAGGGTAGAGTGGGGCGGGAGAGTCCCGAGACCTGCGTGGTCCTGAGGATGTGAAGGAATGTCTGTGGCACCTGTCAGGATGATGAGTCTCTAAAAGGTAAGGAATGAGAGCCATTCTGTGTAACCCAGACTGTCAAAGACTTGTTTGGCAATCCAGCCTTTTATTCTTTGCCCCAGTGCCCTCCATTTACCCACCAAATGTGAGCTCCTCGCACTCAATGCTGGGGAGACTGAGCCAGGCCCCTTCCCCAGTGTGAGACCAACCAGAGAGCAAATCACTTTACTTCCTGCACACCCCTGGCTCAGCAGGGGAGGGCCTCCAGCAGGACACCCCTGTACTAACCACATCATGACACCCGGTCTAGCATGCACTGGCACAAACCGAAATCAGTACCGAAATCCATCATGGCAGAAGGAATGGTACCACAAAAGATCAGCAAGCCCTACAGGCTTTCTTCTACTCATCCTGACAGCTGGTTTACCACCGAACCTGCCGCCTCTAGTCCTTTGACTTGGTGTGAAGCTGTTTGAAAGCTTGGGGGGCTGTTGACACAGAAGTCCTGCTCTCCCCACAGAATGACAAGCTGAGAACCACACTGGATGATAATCTTCCAGCGACCACCGAGAATGAGGCTTAAAGTGCCTCATGGCCTTCTTACCTTGATGTCTGCCACCATCCAGTGCCTCCAGAATCTCGCTTTGGGGTTGCGCCTGCTGGGGGCATCTGGATCCACCATCACCAGGACGTAGTTCCCACCCTGCAATACAACGCACCATGAAGCCGTGTAGCATCGGGACTCTCAAGCCGGAGGGGGAGACTCTACCTGAGACTGCAGGCAGTCCCTACGGCTCCCTCCCCAGTTTGTGCTAGCTCTCTTGATGTTTCTCTCATGTCACATGTTGATTCTTAGAGAAATAAAGTCTGTGGAGAAGATGGCAGATCTCTAGGCCTTGATGAAGACACAAAGCCAACAAGGCATATTTACTAAGCACCCCAGACCCCACAGGCCAAGAGATGGGTGCTTGCTCTGTCTCAGAACCCCTGGGGTCAATACCTCTGTTCACCAAGCATTAATTGAATATGTACAAGAGATGACTATGTACCAGGTCAGTAAGAGGCATGCTTTTAGGAAGTTTTAAGACACAGATGATAAAATAAATAAGTAGACAGCCAGCCAGAGAGGGACATGTTTAGTTGTGGTCCAGGCTCTGACGAAAGTGACACAGGGTAGGCAAGAGGGAGGAAGAAATCTGGGAACAGAAACAGTGACAAGGCCTTCAGCTGGGCCAGAGACAGAAGACCCGAGTGTCCAGGAGTGGACGAGTGGTAGGGCGGACATGGTGGGGTGAGAAGTGGCTGGTCCCAGGCACAGGAGACTTTCTAGGTCTGAGTAAGGAGTGAGATGTGACACTGAGAGCAATTCAACCACTAGAGGGGGTCCAGATGGAACTCAAGGCCCTGTGCTTGTTACACAGAAACTCTTAACCCCTGAGACACGTTCCCCCTTGCTTTTAGTTTGTGTTTTCCAGATAGCATCTCAAGAACTTTGCCTGGGCTGGCCTTGCATGTCGATTCTCACGTCTCCACCTTTGGAGTAGTTGAAACTATAGGTGTGTGATTGTGAGACCATTGGAAACTTTCCAAAGACAGGAAGTCTAAAGCTGGAAGTACTGATGGTTGAATACTAAAATCCCAAAGTAGCAGAGAACCACGTATTTGATGTGAACAGGAAATGAAATTAGAAAATGTGAAAATAGTCCCCCAAAGTTTTCTAGCATGCAGAATAAAAAGACAGAGAGGAAAATGTGTGTATGATACAAGAAAGGGAAACCTGTATATGATACATCTAAGAAGTGGTTCTAGCTAAAGCAATAAGAAAGTACAAAGAAAGTAGAAATGCAGTTTAAAAAAAAAAACAAATCTTTATCCTTCCTCTTTTTCATTTCTTTTTTTTTATAAACGACATGATTGTCTACATGAGAAATCCATAAAAACTAAAAACAACTAGAGTAATAATCCATAAAGTAAGCTGTCACCAAACGTATGCCAAACCTATAGTTTGCTATATACTAATAATAGTCTTCAGATGTACTTTTAAAATTCCCTCTACAGTGGTAACAAAAATGTAAAATATCCCAGAATAAATATGAAGAAAATGTAAGATTTATACAGACTAAACAAATATTACTGGTGCTCATAAGAAAAATTGAATAGATGCAGAGACAAGAGATTGCTCTTAAGTTAAAATAATTTTGTAAAAAAAATCAATAAAGCTTTAATTAATTGAATAATGTAACAAGTTTAATGAAAAATAAAAATTGTTAGTAGTTGTTATGGGAATTTCACAAATGATTCTAAATCTCACAATTAAATGCAAAAAGTAAGTAAATATAATAAAAAGAATTTGACCCAAGACACTATTTAAAAAGAAGAAATAGGAGTTTATGTTGATTTTATAGATATTAAAATACGTTATAAAGCTACAATAATTAGACCAATGTGACATTAAAGAGTAAATAAGTAAACACAACAAAAAAGGAGATCTATAGAGAAACTCAAATTCTTTCTCAACATTTAATGTACAATATTAATCATTTAACATGATAATATGTGACAGTTATTTCAAATCAGAGAAGGAAAGGTAGACTCTCTTATAAATGCTATGGAATAATTGGCTCATTATGTGGAATTATAAGCAGGTATTGGGCTGGGGGATGGCTCAGGGTACTGAGTTCAAACTCTAGTATGGCAGAAAAAAATGAATTTAGGGCTTTCTCTTTTTGTGGTGCTGAAGACTGAACTCAGGGTCTTACACTTGCTATGTAAGTGATCTTCTACTGAGCTAAATCTCCAACCCCAAACTTAGTTCTCTATTTCTTTCAGACACCAAAAAACTTCCATATTTAAATATGAAAATGAAAAATGAAACTTAAAAACTGGTTTAGGAACACAATGTTGAATTCATACACTGGAATGCTGTTGAAGTTCGATCTTTACAATATTAATAAAGGGAATATCTACAAAACTCTCATATGTAAAAGAAGCAAAAATTATAGGTAACAGTAAAAGAAGAAATAAAACTGTTTTTCTTCTTTACATACACAGAAGAGTGTGTATGATATTTCAAATGTGCAGGAAAACTATATCACTTACTATATATATTTATAGATAGATACGCATATGCATGGAAAATGTCTGGGAAAATATATATACCAAACTGTTAGCAGTAAATGGCATGAAGGAGAAGATTGATATTATCCAACTAGATATAATTTAAAATCTTTTATATGGCAAGAAAAATAATAAAATTCAAAGGCAATAAGCTGAGGATACATGTATTCAAGATCTATGAAAAAAGCGTTAATATATGAAGCACTGTTTAAATCAACAAAAAGACTCATAGCCCATTGGAAGATTAGATTAAAATATTAAAAGGCACTCATAAAATAAAAAATACAATTTATCAATAGACAAAATAGTTGATTTCACTAACATGTAAAAACTAAAATCAAATGCCAACTTTTATGCATTTTTATGTTTATCCTGAGTATGTAGAACCAAAGGGGAGGTTACCAGAGCCTATGCACCCTCAACCTCTCGTTCATGTCTTTATAAAAAAGTTCTTCAACTAAGAAAAGAAAATACCCATTACACAAAATATTCATGATGAGCATACAGGTGTCTCAGACTTGTGAGCCTGGCTACTTAAGAGGCTGAGATCTGAAGATCAAGGTTTGAAGCCAGCACGAGCAGACAAATCAAACAGACTCTTTATCTCTAATTAACCAACAAAAAAAGCCAGAAGTGGAGCTATAGCTTAAGTGGTAGAGCAGCAGCCTTGAACAAAAAAACTAAGCAAGAGAGCTCAAGCCCTACTGCTGGCACACGGAGGAGGAGGAAGAGGAGGAAGAGGGGGTGAGGAGGGGTGAGAAGGGATGAGGAGGGGGGAAGAGGAGGAAGAGAGAGGGAGGGGGAGGGGAAGGAGGAAGAGGAAGAAGAGGAAAAATGACTAGCACTCTCTGATTGATAGAAAAATTACAACAGGGTAGAGTTCCATAGTCTTCCAGAATCTGAAACTCCTTTGTGGCCATTAGGGCCCATCCTCTAAGCGCTGACAGCCAAGAGAGAGAAAGAGAGCTAGAAAGAGAGAAACAGAGACAGAGAGACAGAGAGACAGAGAGAGAGAATGCTATCAATGCTTTCAACAACAGAATCAGGATGGAGATGGAGCTTAGTGGCATACTGCTCACCTGGCATGTGTGAGGTGCTGAATTTGAATCCTAACATGACAAATCATCATCATCATCACCACCATCACCACAACCACCACTACCACCATCATCACGAACACCATCATCATCAACAGCAGCAAGAATAAACAAATAAAAGAGTTGTTTCCAGAGGTTCTCATACTTGCTACATGCTTCTTGCCTGGATCAGAGTGCTGTAGCTTCTCGGTCATGTAGATTAGAATGCCAGGCCTGGATTAGGGACCATAAGCACTTGATTCACTGTGGCCTGGAGATATTGGCTAGGTCTTTCTCCCTTCCAGCTTGTTCCTGAAAGCTGAAGAGGCTGAACTACATGATCTACTTTCCTTGGGGTTCTCACACCTATCTGGCGGATTCTGAGATCAGTGAGAAGGTTGGCCCACGGAGACGATCCCTGCTTCTGGAATTTGCGTGAAAGCATTGAACCCAGGGTCCCAGGGAGCCATCTGACCACCATGATCATTGCAGCACCAGTCTCAATAGCCAAGGCATGGAACCAACCTCAATGTCCATCAAATGACCAATGAATTTTTAAAAAGTGGTCTGTGCCAATGCCCCTTGACTTACAGGGGGCTACCACATGATAAATCTACAGTAAGCCGAATATGCTATAAGCTGAAAATGCATTTATTGTAAGTCATCGACCAAGTATCACAGTTTAGTCTAACCTACCTAAAATACCTCCAGAGTATATACATTAACACACAGATGAGTATCACCGGAGAGAACTGCACTGCGTATCACTAAACTGGGAAAAGATCCAGATTGTGAAGTCGAAATATTGTGTCAACCCTTTGTAAACCAGGTACCTAAACCAGCTGGAACTAAGAAGGAATACTATCAGCCTGTAATAAAAGGGGAGATGTGACAGGGGTGAACTTAGGATATTATTCTCAGTGAAATAAACCAGTCACGCAAAGACAAATACTGTGGGGTTCCACCTAAGTGTGGAGGATGGGAGTCGAAACCCCAGAGGCAGAGGCCGAGCAGAGGCCTCGGCCGGACAGGGTAGGGAGATGGCGCTAGAATCAGGGGCTAGATAGAAACTTTCCACAGTGAGTTCTGGACATCGGGTGCAGCATCCTCTTCACACCGTATCGTGACTTACAAGTCTCTTGAGAGTGGATCTCATTGTTAAGTGGTCGAGTGCTCTTAGCACAGAAAAAAAATCAAAGTAAATAAGAAGTAATACTGTCTGAAGAAGTGGCAAATCCTGAAGCGTGGTGGCGTGGCATGCTGGTGAGCTCTGGGAATGTCTATTGGGGGTGTGGGCAGCCCCATTTCTGTGTTTGTTTTTCCCTCCTAAAGTTAGGAGAGAAGGCTGGGTGTGGTGGCTCATGCCAATCAGTCTGTTTAGGAGACTGAGATCTGAGGATCATCATTTGAAGCCAGCTGGAGCAAACAAGTTCTATGATACTCTTACCATCAAAAAACCTGGACTGGGGCTGGGAAGTTGGCTCAGTGGTAGAGCGCTTGCCTTGCATGC